AAAATCAAGAAAACTCAGCCACATATTGTTCATCAGATCCTGTGGTCCTTAGCCTGTCTGCTTTTCTCTCTCCACCTTTTAGAATCTTATGTTTGTTTTATATATAGTGTTTAATTATGATTTAGCTGCACTTAGTGGAAGGAATAGGGAGAAGTACAACTACCCCATCTTTTCAGAAGCAAACATTCCTAACTCCTTTTTTTTTTTTTAAATTCACAGAATACCTCTGAAAACTATACAAGAGAATGGAAATATTCTTCTTGGAGGAGAAGATAGGCAGCCAGAGGACAGAGATGAGAGGAAGACCTTTCATTGTATATATGTTCATGGCTTTAGAATATGGACCCATCTGAAAAAACAAAACAAAACCCATTTTTTAAAGAAAAATGACTTCCAATTTTGGTAGTGATAATACAGCCACTTCTTTCTGAATTGTTCCGCTTCTTTTCTGGAAATCATGCCAAGCCACAAGGAGAATGAAACACATGTACACTATAAACATATTAAGCTAGATAATAAGAAGAAAATCTACTAACTACAACAGTTTGCCCTGGCACCTGATACCAACAGAACTCTCATTTCTGCTCTTAGAAGCTATCATGGCATGGTGGGAAAGAAAAAGGGCATGCACAGGGGGCTCAACAATGGAAAATCTTGGAAATATACACTCTGAGATATGAGAAGGAAATGTACAGAGTTGGAACCTCTATGAAATAGGCTAAGATAACCAGGCCATGGATATTGAGGTGGGGGCGGGTAGCAAAAGATAACACAGAAAGTGGGCTCCAGGAAGCACTATCTTCTAAAAGTAAAAAGTACACTTGGGAAGGTGGGCCACCTCTTTTACTAGCAGCAGCTATTGAAGAAAGGCAGTGAGAGCTCATATCTGTAAAATTACATCCTAAAAGCAAAGGAGCTATGGGTGCACAGAGACACTCTATTTTCACTGTAGCAAGGGAGAGTAGAAGACTTAAGTCAAAAAACCTAGAAGGCAACTGCCTCCAAGCAAAACCTCCTGCTGACAGTTGGTCCGAGACAACTCAACTCCTTAAAATATAGTTAAACAAGAAAGGAAAAATTCAGCACTATAAGAAAAATTCTATAAAAAAGAAAGGAGAGCAGAACTTCCTTATAGATGAAGTAACTCACCAAAAACTTTCTGCACTGGGTACATAAAACCTGTAATGCGAAAAGATTTCCATGGGTAAAAGAAGAAAAAAAACCCTGTAATGCAAAATTATTTTCAGAATTTAAAAAATTAATGTAATAATTGCAACTACAAAGGAAATAAGCAAAAAACAAAACAAAAACAAAAACCTCATAAAACAAAAACTGTGGAAGAAGTCGCTAGACAATAGAGGGAAATTAGGAGATAAAGGAATGTAGGAAAGGAAGAAACAATAAAGATATTTCTGAATAAAAGATAACAATGACTGGGGTGTCTGGGTAGCTCAGTCAGTTAAGCACCCAACTGGGTTTCAGCTCAGGTCATGATCTCAAGGTCCTGGGATGGAGCCCTGCATCTGTTTGGGCTCCGTGCTCAGGGGCGAGTCTGATTCTCTCTCTTTCCCTCTCACTCTGCTCCACCCCTACTCATGTGTGTTTTCTCTCTCTCAAGTAAATGAATACATAAAATCATTAAAAAAAAAAAAAAAAAAAGAGGGAGAGATGGCAATGACAAGAAGCACAAGGGGGACTACAACCCACAGGAAATAAAGTCTAAGGAAGAGAGAGTATAGAAATGTGGAAAAAAATATTAAATAGAAATAAAATATGTGAAAAGAATTTCAGGGGAAATGACGGCTATAGAAGATAGGTAAAAGAGGTTGAAACTATGCATCACTGGACGTCTTTTGCAAACTCTAAATTTCTTTATCCAGCTGCTTAACTCAGTATTCCCACTTGGATATCAACATCCCAAACTCCAACATATCTCAGCATATCTTTTTTTTTTAATTGTTTTATTTTGTTTATTTTATTTTATTTTTTTATCAAACTCCAACATAGCTAAAGCTGAGCTTCTGATAACTTCTTCCCTTCCAGTAAATTCTTGTATTTGTGGCTGTTTCACTTGACAGCAACTCCCATTTTCTAGCTACTCAAGCCAAATTTCTTGGAGTCATCTTAGGCCCTTTTCATTCTTTTACACACCACATGCAGTTTCCAGTAAATCCTTCTGCTTCCACCTTCAAAATATATCCAGCCACTTCTCAAATTTCCACTGCCTTCACCATGGTTGAAACCATAATGGTCAAAACCACAATGGTCTCAAGTTTGAAATATTGTAAAAACCTTCAACTTATCTTCTTTCTTTAATTTTTGCATTCCTTTTTTTTTTTTTTAACAGAGCAGCCAAAGTGAGCCTTTAAGATTTAAATCAGAGTCCATCACGCCTCAGCTCAACACATTCAAAAGGTTTCCTATTTCACTCTAAACTATAAATGCATTTATACTTTGAATCTGATAATTCATTCTGTGGATACATTTTCACACACAGAAATGACACTTGTTCCTACAATATTTATAACAGCAAAAATATGGGAAACAAACAATGTCAATCATTAAGTCACTGTTTAGTTAAGCTAGGATTCAGGGAACACTTTGTAGGTTTTTAAAACAAATGCAGATGCGTCTGTTTCTGTGCAACGAGGTAGAATCAGGTGAGATGAGGATTTCACTGGCAGCTAGGAAGAGATGGATGTGAACAGAGAATAAGTCCCTATTTATTTCTCTGGTGGCATCTGTGATTTCTGTGTATGGATTGAAGGTCAGGACTAAAATAGGAACCTTTGAAAAATCTGCAGCTAATATCAGGCTCAGTGGTGAAATACTGAACAATTTCCCCTAATAGTAGGGAAAAGACAAGCTTGTCTACTCTTACCACTTCTATTTAACAATATCCTAGAAATCCTACTGATTATAATAGAGGGAAAAGAAATAAAAAACATCAAGATCAGAAAAAAAGAAGTAAATTTACCTGTTTACAAGACATATTGCTTATGTATAAAAATCCTAAAGCATCTCTGAAGTAATTACTAGAAGCAATCAACTGAATTTAGCAAAGTCACAAGGTATAAAATTAATATACAGAAAACAGATTGCATTTTTTATGTTTCAACAGGATATGAGTGGGAAACCAAAAAAAAAGCAATTTTATCTATAACAGCCTCAAAATATAAAATAATTAATAACCATAGTCATGACCACATCACAAAAACCATGGAACATTTCTGAAAGAAATTACATAGCTAAATAAATGGAGAGATACATAGCAGTCGTATATTTGAAGACTTAATATTGTTATGAAGTCAATTCTCCCCCAATTTTTCGATAGTTAACAAACTTCCAATCATAATTCTAACAGTCTTTATGATAGATATTGACAAGCCAGTTCTAAAATTATAATAAAATGCAAACAATCTTGAATGGCAAGTCAATTACAGAGAAATACAGAGAACTTTCACTGCCTGATTTAAAGACTTACTATAAAACTAGAGTATTTAAGACAGTATAGTATTAACAAAGGAGTGGGCATTTAAATCAATGGACTAGGATAGAAAGGCTAGAAATAGATCTACACAAAAATGGTCAATTAATTTTTGAAAAGCTACAAAGGTGATCAATGAAGAAAGGACAGTCCTTCAGGATATGAAATTAGAACAACTAGACATCCAGATGGAAGAAATCAACCTCATACCTTTTTTTTTTTTTAAGATTTTATTTATTTATTTGACAGACAAAGATCACAAGTAAGCAGAGAGGCAGGCAGAGAGAGAGGGAGAAGCAGGCTCACCGCTGAGCAGAGAGAACGGATGTGGGGCTCCATCCCAGGACCCTGGGATCATGACCTGAGCCAAAGGCAGAGGCTTTAACTCACTGAGCCACCCAGGCGCCCCATCACCCCTTACAAAAAAAATTTAACTCAAAAATGGATCGCAGACCTGAATGTAAAGTGGGAAAGTACAAACCTTTTAGAAGAAAACAGAATAATATTTTTGACCTTGCTTGACCTTCTGAAACAAGCTTGTAAAACTTGTAAAACCGTTTCTTAAAATTTATCAAAATCATGACTAAGGGAGGCTATGGGAGACAAAGAAATATTCCTTTAAAATATATAATTGTTCCTATATCAGACTCCCAATAATTATGGCACCTAGTGTGGGCCAGAATATGAGGAACTAGGCAATCCCCTACACTCAAAGGACAAGAAAAGGTATATATTGTTACATTCTTTTGCAAGAATAACACAATAATATGAACAATTTAAGTGTTCATGTCATTGGACTAGGCAATTCCACTTTTAGGAATTTATTCTGAGGAAACAATTGGATAGGTGCCAAAAACACAACCACACAACGCACACGGGAATATACATTGAAGAATTCATTGAAATAAAGGGAAAAAGTTGGCAGTAACTTACATACTATTTTTGAAAGATGAACTACATTTGAAAGCTATTTTAAGGACAAAAACATCTACTACAATATTACTAATCTCCTTAGTATGCAGTGAACATGGATCTCATCATCATCAAATAATACCAGCCGAAAATACAGTGCGGGCTAAATCTGCAAAGACCAAGTTTGCAAGTAATTTTTACAACAGCCTGGTGTTAACTTCAGTTCGGGTACTAATTTATTACCCGTTTTCATAAATTTATATTAACCGTATTTCACTTCTTTCTGAATTATTCCAAGTGTTTAGTTAGTGTGGGTACCCTTAGGACTTTTAAACTACGATGAAGTATAACTAACATTTATAAATTAATATCGACGTCCAAAAAGGCAGCTACAACCTGATAAGAATCTATTCATAACCAATAAAAATCTATTTCTTTCGAAAAAACTTGCATAAGGTTTAGCTGTTGATAGCTGAGGAATGAACGTCTGTGGACAGCAGGTATGTTCCCTGTGTTTTAATGTTGCATTTGAGAGCCAATAAAAGAAAATAAAAAAGAAAACATTACCTACTCCGGAAATCCACCTGCTAAGGCCACATACCTTGATTCTTGCTTTCTCTATAAATTCTAGAGGAGCTTTCCCAAACTCAAATCCAGCTCCAATCCAAGGAATCCATCCCCTTATGCACGGGGGTCCACGCAAATTCTTCCGCTGAAGGAATAATAAAAGAGCAATGCAACCCAGGATTATAACCACTGCTGGGGAAATTAGTTCCATGTTTTTGTCTAGCACCTTCCACAATCAAAGAAGGGAAAAGTCCTGCCGCCGTGGCACTTGCTCATTCCCTGTTGGGAGGGGGCACCTACCGGACCTCCCAACTTGTCTGCTACAACTTCCGCAGTTTGTTTGCCTTCCTAAGCGTAGCCTCCTTTCCCCGCCCCAATTTTTAGATGACTTCTGCATCATCGCTCCCTCCTCCCACCTCCACTGGTCTTTCCAGACCCGGCCACGCTGGACCGAACGCAGGGGCTGGACCAAACTGGTGCGGGTGAGGAGGGGTGGAAGGCGGGAGAGAACTTGCTCTGTTGCCATGGAGACCTGGGCCGGCGGCGCCGAGGGAGCCTCGCTCGCAGCCAATCAGAGAATGGCGCCCAAGAGGCGCGCAGCCCGGCGGACTACATTTCCCAGAAGCTTCGTGGGCTTCGCGTTGTTGTTCTGCTCTCAGTCCTGTGGCGCTCTCCCGCCGGGGCTGCGAGGAAGGCTGTAGGTTTGCGAGGCCGCCTGGCTGAGCGGAGCGAGGGAAATGGTCCCCGCTCCGCCACTCGCCGGTTGAGGACGGGCCGCCCTGGCAGAGTGGCAGGCCAGCCGCGGCGCTGGGCGCCGGCCAGAAGGGGTGTACTGTCGTCCCGTCTTGCTGCTGAATGTCGCTTCCAGAGGATGAGGAGAGGCTTTTGCCGCTTGCCCAGAGATGGCCCCGAGCGAGCAAGTTCCTCCTGTCGGGCTGCGCGGCTACCGTGGCCGAGCTAGGTACCCGGCCGCCCCCGCCCGGGCCTCCCCCGCGACTCGTCGAGGTGCCGCGCTGGGGGTGGGGGTGAGGGCACCGGCGAGCGGTTGCGGCCCCCCCGGGGGGTGCGGCCCTCTGGGTTGCGCCCTCTGCTTGCACACCTGCTTGGCCCTTGTGGCAGGGCGGGGACAAGGCCGTCTTTGCGAGGAGGCGGCCCTGGAGGTCACTAAGGTCTTTTCCTTCCAATTTCGTCTCCCTCAGAGGTGTTGCTATTGTGTCTGAATGTCTACGCTTGGAAGCTTCAAGAACCGTCCTTCCTCTCTAGGAATCATTTTCCCATCCGTGAGGATGACCTTTTAAAAACGTGATCCACTCTTCATCCCTATTGAGATAATCTCTCTGATTTCTATTCTTCCATAGCCTCACCACAGCCTTATCTTTTATAGACTCGTAGGACTTACTAACCTGTCACTTATATGGAGCATCTTCTCGACATCTGCCAGTTTTCCTCCTTGAGCTTAACTCATCTGTACTGTGTCTGCGTCTCGGAGTCTGAGAAGTAGATAATATATAAATGCTAAATCCAAGGCGGGGCGCCCATTAATTGCAACATTGTTATAATTACCACAATTTTAGACTGTGGTGAAGGTGCTTCAAAGACTCAGCCTTGACCTTTCTTACAGGCCGGTGGGGAGACATGCTGAGACAGGAAGTTACCTTGTGCTACTTACTATAATGAAAGTATTAAATATCATAAGAACATAGAGGACAGGACAGTTACCTATGCATAAGCAAGTCAGAGAAAACTAGAGGCCACCTAGGGAGAATTTTGATGCCCTTGAGTGAGCAGGTGGTGTTCCTTCCAATGATTTTGTGAGCAGAGTGCCTGTGTGTTCCCTGTGAAGCCTTCACCGTGCATTTTAAGATTACCCTTTGATTTTCTTGCCTGCTGAAAAACAAAACTAGCAACAGCTTTGGTGTGTATATCATCAGGAAATGTTACTTTGGGTTCTCATCTAAAATGAATTTGTTTTGTATTTCCAGCGCAGCCAGCACAGGACCCGTTGTTTTGTTCTTTGTGCTCCTCCGCTCTTGCCCTTTGGACCCACTATTTTTTCTCTTTCTCTTCTCTTAAAGCTGATGGGAAAATTTTTGTTACTCACTGTTTTTACTGAAATACAATTCTTCCACTTTTTAAAAAAAATTTAAAATCAGATTGCTGGATTGGATATTTCTTTTTTAAACCTGATTGCCCCCTCCCCATGACCAATGGCAAAGAAACATTACTTTTGTTAAAGGTTTGTGGAGAATGGTGTGGGGGCTGGGGATGGGAAGCTAGGAAATCAAAATATGGGTTGGTTTTGAGTACAAAACACTTTAGGATCAAAACCTGAAGCATTATTTAAGTAACCAGTAAGTAAACTAGAATTATTTTGAGAGGTATACCCATGTTAATATAGAGGAACCTTAGGAATCTTAGATCTTTTCAAGCTTCATGTGTTAATAAAGCATTGTTAAAATTCTCTACATGCAAACTACTTCTGTTTTAGGGGAACTGTCAGCAAGATATTTTTTCCAAAGACCAGTGGTAAGATTTAATATTCTCCTCCCCCTACTCTGTTTTCTCTTGGAAAAAGCATAACTATGATTTTATATCAGGCGGTGGTCATTGAAAAGATTCATGTAATGTCAATAATGTTCATGAACTTACCCGAATCTGGTTACTTCAGTTATTTGGGACATTATGAGTATAAAGTGAGGAGCTTGATCTTCCTAATGTGGACCAGTTAGCTTCACTGTTTCAAGGAAAAATGTATTCTTGAATTCAATACCTTGAATTCAAAATATAATCATTAGAAAAAAACTTTTCAAGTATAATTGGTACTCATGACGAGGCCACACGTAAAACTTTGCACTGGAAAAACAACTCAATCTGTGCCTTAATTGGAAAGTATATTGAGCATGCTGCCCTTGTATGAACTCCACATTACATCTTCTATATCTCAAACTTCAGGTCAGTGAATATCACCCATGAAATTACATAATGCATCTTCACCTGCTTATATTTTGAACCTATCAGAAATAGTACAGTATTCTAAAAGTCACATTGGGTCTTAATCATTGTTGCAGTCAAAGGAGCATCAGAGAATATGGAAATCTGAAATTATTCCCATTGAAAAACACAAATTAAGGACTAAAGTAGATTTTAGGCTGAAATTTCTGAGTAAAAAGAACCCAAATCTTGTCACTTTTTACCCCCTGATGATCTGGGGGTGAGGGTGCTCTGGGACAATGATTCTTAAATTTGGGCGTGCATAAGAATCAAATGATTTCTAAACCCCCATCAACCTGCTCCGAATCCATAGGTATGGACTAGGAAATAAATTTTAATAATTTCTCTAGCTGATTCTGATGTACTCTAAAATTTGAGAACCACGGATCTTGTGGAGACTAAAATATTAGTTCCATGACTTTAGAATTTTGGAATTTTTGTTTGTTTCTCTAAATGTTATGGGTTTCCCCCTCATTTTGTTTTTTTTATTAGCAACCTTTCCCCTCGATCTCACAAAAACTCGGCTCCAAATGCAAGGAGAAGCTGCCCTTGCTCGGTTGGGAGACAGTGCAAGAGAATCTGCTCCCTATAGAGGCATGGTGCGCACAGCCCTAGGGATTGTTCAAGAAGAAGGCTTTCTAAAGCTTTGGCAAGGAGTGACACCTGCCATTTACAGACACATAGGTATTTATCTTGATTCCAGCTGGTAAGTTTGTTATGAGTTCTGTGTGTCATCTGCTTTTGTGTTTAGCTGTGCTCAAAATCTAGTGGGGTTTTTTTTTTTTCTGCTAATGTAATAAATGAATATATATTCTCTTGGGAAGAAATTTAACCATTAATTGTTATTAAGGAATGATTGCCTTAAATTTTTAGAAAAGCATATACAAGTATTTAGGGGTGAACTCTCGTGATGTCTATAATGTACTTCAAAATAATTAAGCAGAAAAATGAATCAAATGTGGCAAGAATGTTAGCAATGATACATCTCAAGGATACAGAGGGAATTATTTTCTCTACTTCTCTGCATGTTTGAAGAATTTTAAGAAAAAAATTAGTGATATTTTTTCTCCACTTCAGAAACTTTAAAACGCAAAATGTAAGCTTTTCATGTTCTTTGAAAATGAAATATATTTGACTAAAATGCCAAATCTCACTAGTCTCTGTCCCATATACTACAGACTAGGCAACTCTGAAAGAGAACAGGGATGACTGATCCAATTCTGGCAGTTGAATGATTGCAGTGCAGCTTATTTTCACCTCTATTTCCAAGGCTACCTCCCTACCTGTGTGGGCCCAGTCAGTCTTCAAGGGAAATAGTTGTCACTGTGCTACAGCCAGTGAGAATACTTCAGATTTGCTTCTCAAGTGGCACTCACAAAGATAGTCATTGTTGGGTTTTCTGCTTGTGGATAGGAGAACATAAACTTGGCTTCAAAGGAGGTAGGACAGGTGTGGCATTCTTCTCCTTTACGTTCATAATATTTCCACAAGTATGTAGGGACCCTTGACCAGAAAAGCGTCCAGTACTAATACTTACCAGCTTATGATTTTTAAAGCTTCAGTTCTTCAGGTGAGTAAGCTAGAGTGTTTTCATCAAGAGCTTTCCAGAAGTGTGTATAGAGACTGTTGTTTTGGTGATTTGTATATTTGTGAATATTTAAAAATATTTTATTAGACTTCCTGAAATATCAAGAAAAATGCTCTCTATGAATACCATGTGCTGATTTTAATGATTTTTATTTTCCAATCTTTTTTAAAAAAAATATTTTCTCCTTTGCTTTCCATTATTGTTTTGAGTTTTACTTCTTTTCATTTGTATTTAGTTGAGCATTATAAATGGCTTTACAGTTAAGATTCATTTTGTAAGTTTGACAGCTGACTGAAAAAGTTACCTCAATATAATCAACTACCCAGTGAAGTTATGCATATTTATTAAATGAAAAATGCCTGCTGTGTACCAAGCTCTGTATTAGGGTACATAGAGTAATGAAAACACACAAAGCCTGCCCTGAAAAGCTCATGGTCTGATGGAAAGATGAGCAACAAAATCAAGTTAATCTCCAATGAATGTCATATTGGATGTATGCATGGATTGTTCTGGAGGAGGAGAGGAAAAGCATGGCAGGTGCAGTGGCAATCTAGAACACTGGAGATCGGAGAGCATGTTTTAGAAAACATGTTCTTTGAATTGAGTCTTAGAGGACCAGGAGGAGTTACCCAAGCAGAGAAGGGTGAATCCATTCAAGAAAGATAAGACAGCATATGAGAAGGCCTGAGGAGTAAGAAGGCATGCCACCTTTAGAGAAACATCAAGAAAAGCCAATGTGTTGTTCTCTCACGCGAGAGATATGTTGTTCTCTCATGCGAGAACAACACAGCTAGAGAGG